TAGGAGCACTGTGAGCTGGCTACGGCTCTGCATGAGGAGCGTAGGAGCACTGTGAGCTGGCTACGGCTCTGCATGAGGAGCATAGGAGCACTGTGAGCTGGCTACGGCTCTGCATGAGGAGCGTAGGAGCACTGTGAGCTGGCCGCGGCTCTGCGTGAGGAGCGTAGGAGCACTGTGAGCTGGCCGCGACTCTGCGTGAGGAGCGTAGGAGCACTGTGAGCTGGCCGCGGCTCTGCCTGAGGAGCGTAGGAGCACTGTGAGCTGGCCGCGGCTCCATGTTCCTGGGCTGAGGCGCTGCTGCCACCGTCTCCCTGGGCCCTAAATCACAGTGAGTCTTGCTTTGCGATGATTTCCTACCGCGACAATGCAGGAGCTAAATATACACGGGGGGGGGGCAGTGTGGATATCTGCTGACCGCCCCTCCTCCTCTCCCTCAGTCCCCATGTTCCCCCAGCCTGGTTATCGCACCATCTGTGGCAGAGACTGCCCGCACAGCATGGGGGCGCTGTACCCTGCTCACCTTGTCCTTCTGCATCCAGAGTGGCAGCCGTGGGTACATCGGAAACAGCCGCTCCACGCTGAAGCAATGCTTCGCTGGCACAGGGACGTTCCCCATGGGCCCACTGGCAAGCCTGGCCCCCTCGCACACTCGCCTCTTCTGGTCGTGTCGCCGCTCGCACACTCGCCTCTTCTGGTCGTGTCGCCGCTCGCACACTCGCCTCTTCTGGTCGTGTCGCCGCTCGCACGCTCGTCTCTTCTGGTCGTGTCGCCGCTCGCACGTGTCGCTGGCGAGTGATGCTACAGATAGGCGCCGCAGAAGGAATCCTGTCAGATAGTGATAGGTGGTTAGGGAGGGTGACTCAGCTGTTGCCATGGCAGCATCATCACTGGCTGAGAAGGAGGCAGGGGGAGGGATGAAGAGAGAGCGAGAGAGAGAGAGCGAGAGAGAGAGAGCGAGAGAGAGAGAGCGAGAGAGGGAACAGACAGCCCCCCCCCCTCGCGTCCTGGGTGTCAGCCATGTTTGTGTCTCCGGGAAGCAGGGCAGCAGGCCATCTCAGGGCCAAAATAGCAGCTTTACTGTTATTTGTTTGGACATTTTCACCAGAATTCCCACCTTTTCATCTGATATAACCACAGATCAGCACCTTCAGTAGATTTACCTTAGATAGTAAACAATAATAAAAACTGAAATATACATGATTTTTTTTCTTTTTTAAATGCATTTCTAAATATTGGATAATTTACTCTATTAAAATGGTAATTTTCCATTAAAAATCATTGTAACCCTCAACATATGTAAATAATATAGAAGGAAAACAGCCGTGAATGTGACTCTTGACACATTATTGAAAATGTAATTGAACAGAAACAACCTGAAACCATTTTATTGTTGTCTCTTTCTGAAAAATCAGAAAGCGTTATTTCAACATTACTTTAATGTTATGCTAACACTGAGGTAAGACAGATAGAGTTCCCCTCAGCGAGGCCATATGCAAAACTCCTGTGCCGTTAACGGCCTTTTAAAAGGCAGATTTTGCAAAGTTGATCCCCCATAGCCAACAGCTGCAGAGGAGTAGATAATGTTTGCAGCCCCAGCTTTCAGAGAGATGCCGTAGGCACCCAGGTACTCACGCTAACATGCAGCTGCTCGTAGTACCTGCAGGGGGCGTCCTGTGCGGAATGCAGGGCAGGTGAACAAAGAAGCTTCACGTTTAAGATACATATGAAAAGGACCGGAGGAGCTGCCACGGAAACGGCCCTCGGTGATGGATACTATGGTTAAAGACATTTTTACTGCAGTATATTACCAAGAAAATGTAGCTTTGATGACATCACCCTGACAGGTGCTTTGAAATGATACATTCCTATGGAGGCAACCTTGTTGCTTATACTGTACCATAAACATAGCAGTTACCGGCTTCAGGGACAAATGATATGCAGCATCAGGCCCCTCCGGAGCCCCTACTCGTTCATTCAATTTAATTAACGCAAACCGAGTGTCCAGATGTGGGGACAGTCATGCTTACTGAATAAGTCTCGTCATCGGTGCCACACGTTTGTGATACATGTACCCAGGAAAGGAGACTTACACAGATGGAATTGCATTTGTTGTGGAGTTTTACTCACCCCTGGAGCATTTAACCCCGAGCAAGAGAACATCTGTAACAACTGGGAGCAGGTGTGGGGGAGGGGGGGGAGACGTGTTTTCTGTTTTAAGGTTTAGGATGAAACAAATGTGTGAAACTGGTTTACATACAGTGTGTCTCCCTAAGATTTCACAGGCCTGTGATTAATACAGGAAACATCAAGACAACTAACAGGTTAAATCCATCCCACCCTGAAGACTGAGGAATTAAGTCTACATTTCACAGCTCCAATGTTTACACTAATTGTCAGCGTTTGCTGCCAGATCTCATAAAATGCCTGTGTTTCTGGATCGATTTTGGATTTCAGCACGTACTGCTTGTGGTGTAGGTGTCAGATTCAGCTGGCTCCTGGATTTCCCAACGACAAGTCAGGGGAGAAAGTACGGTCACGCGACGGGAGAGAAAATAATCAAATTTACATTCGCGCTAACGGCCGAGGGGTCCTAGAGCTGAGTTTGTCACTTTTAATAATCGCCACCTAACATCACCTTGGCCGAGCCAGGCGGGGCGTACCAATGGGGGCAAGTTAAACTCAGCCGGCATGGACCCTGCACGCCCGGGGCCGAGCGCCTGTGGGAAAAGTGCGCTCATTCTTCAGTCCTGGGCTTCCTCCCCAGCCAGGCCGCCGCACCGCTGGGCGCGAGGAAACGCCGCTCTGTGGAAGTGTTATTCTGTGCGAGACGCAAGAGCCTTTATAAAAACAGCAGGTTACCTGACACCAATCCTGTAGGGAGACCAGCAGTCCTCAGCCTACTTTCCACGGCCGTCCTCTCCGGAGACGCCGCATGTGTGTTACAGATTACCGCGCAGAAACCAGCTGCGGCAAGCGCCTGCGGTTTTAACCCGCTGGAGCTGCTGACCTTTCCGGAGGGGCCGCTGTCCCTGTCCAGCAGCAAAGGAGCGGCCCCGAGGGCTTCTGAGGCCAGCAACCTTTGGTATACATTCTGCCTTGGAAGCCGACAGCAACGTTCCACGTAAACATTTGGTCCCTGACTGCTGTTTGACCACTGAGGTTTACTATGGTTCATTGAACGAGCTTTTCAGAAATTTCTGGTCAATGAGGAAAGGCCGTGTTTTCAACAGTGAGCACAGGAGGAAAACAAAAAGCGATTTATTTGCCTGTGACCAGCATGCTGGGATATAGAATACACTGACTATTTGGTATCATGCTAAGTGTGAAGATATTAAACAGAGGCGTGTGTTTGACCGCATGCTGCGAAACGGCTAAATGTATTTTCAACAAATGATATAAACTGCGCTGTGGATATACGTTTTGGGAGTCTCCTGCAGCAACCCTCGATCATAAATCCGATTACATTCTCCCGTTCCTTCAGAGTAAACTTCAAATGAACTGAAGCTCAGTGACAGCCGCTGATCTTTTTCTTTGCCAACTAATAACAGCAAATATGTTTTTCATTTGTGTTATGACATGACGGGACTGGCTGACCTTAGGCTGGTGTATCACGGATTCCTGCTAACCGCTAATGACCTCCAAAGCTATCGTGCATTTCACAGAAAGCTACTCAGGCGCCACAGGAAACAGCTTTACGGCGGCTCTAACAAGCAAATCCGCCCTGTGACCGGGGCCTTCGCTCAGACGGGACGCCACATTGCCATGTCGCTTCTAATTAAATCTGTCAACATTTTCCACAGACTCACAGCAGAGAGGAAAATGCCGTAGTGACGAATCTTCTGCGACTTTTTCTTTTTTAAATAAACAGAGAAACAGCATAGTGACTCGTAATTCAGATACAATTTACTTCAGCTGCCTTAATTTCTGATTTACAATTTAATGCATTTTTGTTCTTTCAGGCCTTGTCTTCCTGATGCTCCCTCGCCATACTGTGTTTCCCTCACTCATAAGTCTCTGTTTGTGATGATGTGATGGATGTAATTAAATCACTTTCAGTCTTAGTTTTCCGTGGTATAGGTCTGCCTTCAGTCAATGTGCTGCACTGGTGAGTCTGTCCTTTCCTATGCCCTTTAAAGCTCTTTCACTGTGTTTGTGTTTATGCTGGTTTCTAAGAAACACAACAACTCAGTCCATTATGTCATAAATCTGTGTGTCAGAAATGTTTGACAGCCTGAAGGTCTCCATGAAAACAGAGAGTAACCCTGAAGCACGTCTCGCACTCTGTGTGTGTCTGGGAGGGACAATGGAACACGGAACTGGACCACCCAAGCAGCCACGGCTTATATGTTTATATGTGTGTTTAGAAAAGCAGCTCCTCCATGCAAACAAAGAGGGTTTCCGTTATGATCCCGCCCCTCTGTACAAATGGAGGTTTTCCATTATGATCCCGCTCCTCTGTAGAAATGGAGGTTTTCAGAATCAGAATCAGAATCAGAATCAGAATAAGCTTTATTGCCAGGTATGTTAACACATACGAGGAATTTGTTGTAGTGACAGAACTCTACAGTGCAACAGAATGACAGTGACAAGACAAGACACAGGTAATAATCCCGCCCCTCTGTACAAATGGAGGGATTCTGTTATGATCCCGCTCCTCTGTACAAATGGAGGGTTTCCGTTATGATCCCGCTCCTCTGTACAAATGGAGGGTTTCCGTTATGATCCCGCCCCTCTGTACAATTGGAGGTTTTCCGTTATGATCCCGCTCCTCTGTACAAATGGAGGGATTCTGTTATGATCCTGCCCCTTTGTCCTATTGGAGGGTTTTCGTTATGATCCCGCTCCTCTGTACAAATGGAGGGATTCTGTTATGATCCTGCCCCTTTGTCCTATTGGAGGGTTTTCGTTATGATCCCACCCTTCTGTACAATTGGAGGGTTTCTATTATGATCCCGCCCCTCTGTACAAATTTCTGTTATGAAACTGTCCCTTGACACAGGTCTCCATTCCAAAACCAGTTAAGCAAGCTTAATACTTCTGTTACAAATACAAACAAAATACATCTCATCAAATAAAATTGTGTAAAAACATACCCTTTTACGTTATGAAAACATTTGCCCTAAGAGGACGTAAGAGATTTGTTTGTGGCCAAATCTACTTCTTTGGAAGAACTGTAACATAACATTTCTTTGACTTTGTTGCAATGGTCTTGTAGAAATGACACACTATTGGAATGCCAGAGTTTGACATAATCAGAATCCATTTTAGAGATTAAGTTTAGGTCTGTCTGTTATTGTTAAGGCTAGGTTTCACTGAATCAAGCCTATACCACAATATCATGTATCCCCATTCTGGGAAAGGTCTCAGCATTCAGTTTGAACCTGTTGGGAAGTTGCAGCTTTAAGGCACAGTAGCCCCCACCTGTAACCCATCTGACGCACATGACTGCCAAGCCCCCACTGCTGTTCAAAACGGTTACACTTCAGATCGAAGTACCAAACATCGATGTTGTCGAGGGAAGCTAACAGTCTGTGCCCTGATGTAATATTTACTTTCGTTAATGAAGAGCACATGCACCCCCCCATTACTGCTTATTACAACGGTAGTTACACTGTAATTAACCAGCACAGGCGTTTTCAAAGTTGGTCAGAGTTGGATGGTAAACAGCTTGAGGGCTGAACATTGCTCTGTAATTTTATCATTTGTTTGTCTTCTGTTGATAGTTTTCGTTCAATCCCTCCATTGTTTATGTTGGACAGCTTTCTCTGCTGGACAAGCTGTCTGAACCCCCCCCATCTGCAGGTAATATAACCAATGTATGTGCATGGAAATCATTCACAATTATTTTGTTGGGAAGGTACTGGAT